CAATTGAAGCAGAGCTAATTGTCCCTTCAGATATCTCAAGAAGCGCAAGGAGTACAAACATGTACGTTTCCTGGGATTACTGTCCTCTAGGGACCAAACTAAGTTGTGGAAATAGAAGTACCAGGAAGATCTAAGTAAAGAAATTAATAGGATACTCTGAATTTGCATCTTGAACATTTTTCCATGCCACGCTGTAGAAATACAATGGAAGGAGAATTGGCAAATACCATCCATATGCCACACTACAAAATGCCTGACAGAGCACAATGTGAACATTACTCCTGGACTGAATCAAGAGAATGCATTAAAAAATGCATAAGTGGAATACTGATATACATTAACTCAATCTTCTCTTATTATGGAATTAAAAACCTTATACCTGTAATTATGGCTTACCCCCATTACAAGCAGAGCTACCACAGAACTGAACATGGGCCAGCTTTGTACATGAGTTCAAAGCCAGTGTGATGTTGCCTTATTTTCTTACTAACATTATCTTTATCCTCTCTTGCCCTTCTTCTCAGTTAACAAGAGTTATGTACTGAAAGTGCTGAGATAAAGTAATGGTAAGGAGGATACCGCAAAAGGTATTTGAAAAGCAGAAGTAATTTACTACATGTCTGCTTTGTTTTACTTCCTAAGCCTTCCTGTTGTGAAAGGAAATTCATCTTTTCTGGCAGACTCCAGCCTTTTTAGGCCTGAGAGCTCCCCAGGAGCTTTCGAGTGCAGGTAAATGGATGTGAGACTCAAGGAGTACAGTACAAGGAACATGGAATTAATGTTGGTTTTTGCTTTGGTTGTCACGTCTGACGTATAAGAAGAGTGCCACATCCTTGCTTGCAAGAAGTATCTAGATGTAAAAAACACAAGGCTGAGTCCTCTGCTCATTACTATGGGTCTGAAATGCCATGAATGGAAAGGTCATGTTGCTGGTGGGCGAAGCATGTAGGATCTACACCCAGCAAAGTCCCCACGTGAGACAGATGTCAGGGTGCTCCGAGCCCCAGGGGCCCGTGATGTGAAAGCTCAGAGGAAGGACTGTGGATGGACAATAGGTGCAGCTTGTATTCTGCACGCAGCAGAGACCCCAAGAGTAGGCACAGGGGAAGCATCCACTGCCTAATCTAAATAGCACACAGAGTGGTTTTGTCCTCTTCTGTTCTCCTGCCAGTTTGCACATATGTTCTGAGTATACAGCCTGCCCTCCAAAGACCACTTACAGGGGCAATCACAGGGAAGCAAAGCAGGACGAAAGTATCCAAAAAGGGGAATTTGTTCAAGAGAAAAAATGGAGACAGATGTAGAGCGACTAGTCACGGCTGGCGGTAAATAACCCTCTGCCTGGAGTGCTCTCTTTCTCTAAGAGGAGTTCACATATTCCATTTCATATTTCCTTTCCTTTCCTTTCAAATCTTTGTTTTCCTGGCATTTGTTCTTTTTTTTCTTTCCCCTATATACTTTTTCCCTTCTGTATGGTCTAAAATTGTCTTCTCATTTTCTCTTTCTCTTCCACGTTGTGCTCTCTTTCAAGTGCGACATTTCTCCAACCGCCCTCTCACCCAGGCCTAATTTCCAGCACTGTCCCAGGCAACATCTTTCGCTCTAACCCTCTCATAGCCTCTGTGCCATGAGCACTTCCCTCTGTCTCTACATGTGCATAAACACACGGGTGCTTCACATCTGCTCCTGCGCTAGAGTCCCCACTTTTTCTCATGTGCACACCTCAGAATTAAGCAAATGCAACACACACAGACAGAATATTCATCCTCTTGCTCCCATAAACCTGTCAAGGCATATAGGCCAACAAGCTATCTCTGCATAAATCTAAATCTCCTGCGAGGAAGCAATCTACTCAAAGGCAATAAAGCCAAAGGATATATTATTATCTTTGGTGTGGATCCTACTGGGCTGGGAGGTTGGCTGCTGGCTCCTCTCTGAACTTTCCTTCCCAGCCAGAACAGCCATCCCACAGACAAGTCTAAGCTTCCTTTCCTTGGTCTGATTTCCTCCTCCCGTTGTTTGGCTGGTAACCCAAAGGACAGGGTTTAATTACGGAGTTTGGAAACCTGGCTTACGCTACTCTGCCAGCACAGGATAAAACTTCAGCCTGCCTTCAGAACCAGCATCATTCTGCACCGTTGATACCTGCATTATCCCACACAGCATAAAATGAACCACAGGGAAGAAACGCCAAGTCAAACAAAAAGATGGTTTTAGTCTTTAAACTTATACTGCGAATTTCACTGAGAAAAAAACAAAACACTGAAGCTCAGAGATTATTGTATGTTAAAACTGTGCCATCATTTTGACTGTAGATTAAATAAACGGCAAGGCCTTTTTCTGGACAGGAGAGACATCAGAAAGGATGGATCTGAAACAGGTCCAGGCTCCAAAGCTCCCCTCTCAGAGAGGAACGCTGCGGCAAGTCACCGGGTAATATGGGACCTTAACATCATTTGTACGGCTTTCAGATGACCAATATATTTTCTAGGCATATGCCCCATTGAAGACTCATAAAACATTTTACACTTCTGGAGATAAAGCACCCATGTCAAATACAAAGGGCCAGATGTTAATATCAGACCCACGTGTGATTCCTGAGGTAAGGCAGGGCACTGTGCACAGCACCACAGCAGGATGTGTCCCTCAGTGGGGAGCACCTTGTGCCAGTGTCACCCTGGCATGAAAAGACACTTCCGTACTGTTTTGTCCTTCACCCCTGATGAGTTGTGGCTCTTTAGGTAATCTCTCTGCCAGCCGTGCTCTTGCAGTGACCCTGTTTTACAGAGAAGCTGAGGCAATGAATTCAGAGGAACGGCTGCTGGAAAGCCACGGCAGAAGTATTGGGGTGGGGCTGTGTGGATATAGCATAAAGATGGTTTGAAAGCACATCCCACACAGGCAGGATAAAGCTCTTTTTCTTCACAGTTGTGACAGTGATAGATAGCTTGGTGAATCTGAGCTATATCTAGTTGGTACCTGGCTTCAGTCCCTGATGTTGCAAGGTGATTTTCTGCCATTTTACAGGCAAGACTAAGCAGAATCTGGGATTCTTCTGTAGTAACTGAGGAAGGTCATGAGGAAGGAAGAACCTTCTCTTCTCTGACTTGTTCTTGCCTCTCTAAGCACCTCAGGAAGTTTGACATGGGCAGTTACGCTTCTTCATGATGGGCACCCAGTGGTGCCAAGAGTGGCAGAGGTGCTTTGGAGGTGTAAGGTACTTCTCTTGTCCAGCTCAGCAGCTCAGTGCCACCATCTAGCCAGGACTTGGATGAGACAGAGGTGATGACCACATGTGGGGAAAACCTCCAGAAGTGACAGCAAAATTAATAGCCAACCTCTGGCTGTTGCACAAATGGAGAACATTTGTGTTCTCCATTAACAGAGTACCCCAAACTTTGGGGGGAGGTAGCCCCCAGTCTGACAATGATGTAGAAGCAGTGACCCAGTCAGCTTTTAGCCATCTGTGTCTGCAGAGGAGGTTGTGATCTCTCCCTTTCAATGGGCACTGAGCTTTTGTTCATGTTTTTGCCGCTCCATGAGCAGACTCGTTTAGTACAAGGTGAAGCTCTGCCTTACATCATCTGGAGCCTGGAGCTGATGGAGGAAACAGCCCCTAGTGTCTACTGAGCAGGACACCTCACTGAAAACACCAGAGCCCTGGGGACGGCAGCGGCAAGGCAGTCACGGGGAGCCTGGCACTTGTCTGCCTGCAGGTCCACCCTCTCCTCCTGCCAAAGTGCCACATCTGCAGTCAATAAGGGCCCACAAGCTGGCTCCTCCTCATTAGAGGAGAGAGGGCAGCTGGCAGGGGATCCTCAAAGGGCTCCCAGGCGCAGGAATCAGTCCCCTCCCAGTCTGGAATAGCCCAAATTTGGTGACTTTCTGGGCATGCTGTAAAGGACAGCTGTTTGACAGGGTCTCCAGAGAAAGCTGTGGGTATGTTTCCTACATGATGAAGGATATAGGTGGCTGGCCAAGTGCCCACAGAACTGATTTTAATGCTGTTCAGGTTGAATTTACTTTTCTGTGCTGTATAGTTCATTATACACAGTGCCTGGACAAGCATGTGTTGTTTCAAAACAAACCAAAAACATACTATTTTAAATCCAAACAAACAAGAAAGAAAAAAAATACATATTGCGAAAGATCCTTTGGGCTGTTTAGAAGGCCTTCTCAAACACTGGGAGACTGAACATGAAAGAACTGCTTGCCTTTGTCTAACAAGTAAGACTTCTGTTATTTTTATTGGCAATAGATACTTGATTTAGCTGTAAGCAAAACTGAGGCATTAACTTCACCTATGCATGTAGCACTGACCCAGGAAAATATTTCCAATAGTATTAAGCACCCAGATGACCTCAGGATAAGTGATCAATGGACAGTTAAGTATGTAACATAACATAACCCAAAAGATGATCAACAAGAAAGATCACACACAAAAATTAACCGAGAAGAGGCAGAAGAGCTGCTTCCTAAACCTTATGAAGTGTAACGCCCAGTGATATCTATTTTGATATAAAGCCTCCAATCACACTTCATAGTATTACAGATTAATAAAACAACTCCTTCTGTAAGTGTCTTGAAAGTCATTACTAAGTGAGCTCAGGTGTTGTATAATGCTCGAAAAGTCCTTCTACCTTATGTAAGTTTAGGGATATTTATTTAAACAGTATAAGTGTAGGGCACAGCCCAGACAGGTACTGCTTTTTGCTAAGCGATTGTCACTGCTATCCCAGAATTTGACAGAAAAAGACTGCCTATCTTTTGCTGCATTATTTAAATACTTCCGACGTTTGGCCAAAATACAGAAGTGACACACTACAGAAACATTCACAGCTGCAGGAGAAATAAAACCACTACAATATTTTCGTTAGACTGACCTTTTCTCAGAAGAAGTTACAAGATGTTTAGAACTGATCACCTTTCTATACAGCATTCATTGTATTCTGATAACAAAACAGAGATCACGTTCTCGGGCTCCTGAAAGCCGTGCTTACCTGGCTCCACTTCATGCCATCCACTTGACTGGCTGCCACTTCCTGGAGAGCGCCCTTGGCTTGTATAAAACGGCTCCTCACCAGGACTGTCCATCTCATCCTCCACAGACTTGAGACGTTTTGTAGAGCTGAGAAAGTAAAAACACCTAATAAATACTATAGGTATGGAAAGGAACAAAGGCACTTCTGTTGGGACATATCTTGCTAGCCCTGCTTGAGACTAACTTGGTTATAACAGATTTAGGGCCCTGAGAAGGGGAAGGTATAAGTCCTGCACAGCCATCCTGCCCGCCCAACCTCTCAGCATCCACTTTTTGTTTCTGATTTGCTTCGTTGCCAATGACTAAGCTTCAGTGAGATACAAAACAACCTCTCACAGAGTCCAGACTGAACCCCTAAACATGCGTTAGTTTAACTAGAAGATAGTTTAACATTTAGGCTTTTACAGATCAAAAAGTAGGGCATTTTTCAAAGCACACAGAGGTCAATAAAAAGGCAAGAATTTAATTTGTATTGTGTGATTTTTGCAATTTAAATGAATATGGTAATGACACACAAGACTTATTTTAACTGTCAGATTTTTCCACAGCTTATTCTGAAAGAAATTGTTTATCAGTTCAAACTTATATTTTCAATCTTTTAACCGTAGCCATTAAACTAACCCAGACTTAGTCCCATAAGAAGTGTAGACAAGTGAATGATGGAAGAATCCGTTCTTGGTTCAAATGTTCACGTTATCCTATAAATATAAGCATTTTACTCTGCAACTGTATGCCACCAAGCATAAAAAGCCCCCAACAGGTATCTCTGGCCAGTGTCAGTACTAAAGGATTCCCTTGTGATATATCACACCTTCCTCACCAAAGGCTCAGGAGACAGAAGAGCCCTTTCAGTGGTCTCTGGTGGCCACTGACTCAGACTCTGGTAGTTCTGCAGGGAGAGGATCCCAAAGCCAAAGACACTCAGCTTGGCTCTGTTTTGTATAATGAGTTGTACAGACTGCGTGGGGACGTTACTGAGAATTTCGCTCCTAAGTACTTTTCCAAGGCTGGGTCAGCTCAGTTTTTTCACTGAATCTGTATTCTATTAAGACTTAAGGCATTCAAGAACAGGCTCCTCTGTGTAGGGCGAACATACTAGACATAAAATATTCCACTGCAATTTCTATTGGTTTAAAACTTGCAGCCTCTCCGCAGCTCCCCACCTGAAGCTCTGCACAGGTAGGAGCTGGCAGGTATACAAAATCAGTTTGTGAGAAACAGGAAGAATAATTCTTGCGGTATGCGTGGAATGCCGGTTTGGCCATTCCTTAATTTAGAGAATTGTTATGTGTCAATAGGGGAAATTGTGTGCATACAATATAATTACTGCCTGATAATTTTGCTGAGTTTGTGTATTTAAGGAATATTTTTTTTTCTGACTCGGAACAGCCTAATGAGAGGAAAACAAACATATTACCAAGTTATTAACTATCCATGTTGTTTATAATTAGCTCCTTATCAGTGGTAGCTATTTGCAGAAGAGTAGAATAGCAACAACTGAGCTCTTAAGTAACATTAATAACCTCACTTTTTTGCTTCTGGAGTCACAACTAAATTCTACCTGAGAATGGTGCTAATGATGAGCACTGTAGGGTACACAGTTTACACACAAAAAAGAAAGAGCGCAAAGTTTTTAATTGATGTGTAATGGGAATTGTAGTCACGGAGCTTCATAATGTGCACACTAAGTGCAAGATGCAGAATGTTCTTCCAGTCACTGCAAAGTGTAAGAAGTTATTGCTAAGAGCCTCTCTTTAGAGATTTTTTTTTTTTAATAAAAACAACAGCTATATTCAAACTATAGAGACTTCTTACACGTGTACTTGCTTACTGCAAAGCTGGTGGCACTGAGACTGAGGTAAAAACGTAAAAGAACCCTGGGCTGACGTTAGACTTTCTTGTCATGTCTTTGAAATAAGTGATCTATTTTGGCTGTGGGGAAAAAAAAAAATCAATCTGGTTCCTTAATAGTGTTCAAGACTACTAGAGTGACTGGGCTTGTTTATAAATCTAATCTCATGGATGGTTAAAGTGAAAGGTAAAAAATAAAAAATACCCTTGTTTGATAATTGGCATCTAAGCCAAAATCAAAATCAGACTGGGTATTCATCTGCAGTAACAATTCAGTTTTCCAAAGGCTGAGTCACAAATTTCTAAATGCTATATGAAAACTAGAATGTATTATAGGCCAAGGTCCTAAAACGATGTTAGTCTCACAGATAATACTTTTTATGATAAAGAATGCATATAAGTCTATCTTAAGACTTTCTTGCTAGGACACAGTGGCACATCTCAATACGTTCCAAATTCTCTTCTGCCACAAGTGAAACTCCAACAGTTCCAGTGGAACTTCTCCTGATACACTGAGATACAAGCCAGAAGTTACACAAGTCAATGCAGCAGTTTTTCTTCGAAGCTTGTACATATAAAAAGAACTTCAACAGCAATCCAGTTGAACATTCAGCTCTGTGAATCTGAAACAGCTCCACACCTTGAGGCCCCCAAACAGCTTGTCAAAGAATTTAATGGTTACTTTCCCAGATGAATAATGATGCTGGCCTGGGTTTCCAAGTAACCTGGTAGTAGGCAGAAATTAAATTACCTGGTAGAGGATGTGCTAGGTAAAGACCTCCTCATTGCTCCTGGGCTCATGCTGTAGTATGAAGAACTTTCCAAATCTGAGAGGGAGAAATTAGGGCCTGTTCCTGCAGCTATCGGTGCTGGGGAAACAAAAAAGATTGCAGTCAGTAAGTCATGTGAATAAGGCATGAATTGCACTTCAAAATCACTTTCTTCTTCCTCATGAGTGTGTTTAGTTTCATGATGAGAACAGGTGGGACATGGAAATTAGGAAATGCTAACAGTAACTGGCATTGCAATCAAGAAGATGTAAATTTTGTCAAGAATACAATGTTCCATGACATAGACTCTTTCTTACATTCCTCCAAAGATATTCTTTTTTTAAAAAAAAAACCCAAACAATTATGGCAAGACTTTCTTTAAGCACTGCTTTTCTATTAATATCATTCTAACATTTAATGAAACTTGTTGCTTTTGCTTTTAGGACAACATTGCATCTATTGGCATAGTTACAAATAGGCTGCATCATCCCTGTAGTGTGCTTGGCATAATCTATAAGCCATATAGGCAGGGAAATACACACCTCAGGACCTTTGGTGTATACGTGATGTACATCCACAAGCACAAAGGTTACAAATGCTCCTTGGAGAAAGCACAAAAGCAGATGAGAAACCTGAGTTCTTTTCTGCCTGCGAACATCTGAGTTTTCCCCTGGCCTCTCCTCCAGCTAAATCAGAGCTAGAGACATATGACTCTCAAAAACTTTTATCCAGCAGTTAGTTTCCACTCTTCACCTCTCATTACCTTATCCAGCACCTAAGTTTTATTTTAAGGGATATGAATACCTTTAATTTCCCTGTCCTAGAGCCTTGGTTTTACATTAAAACATAACAAATTCCTACATGCCCTGAAGTTTGCAGGCACAAGCCTATGAACTCCACGTGCCATATTCTTCTGGGAACAGAAAAGGAACAGAGTAGTTTAACATTAAAGTCAACAGATAATGTATTTCATGAAGAAATGCCACTATACGGCAAATGGTACCATATCCACTGTCGCTGTTCCAATGCTATTTACAGGACAATACAACTTTGGGAGCTGACAATTACAGATCATGATTTTCTCTCACATTTCAGAGACATCTGAAAAAGGACGTACTGCACAATAAAATGCACAAGCTTGGCCTGGAACGCATTGTCTGAGAGCCCTGATTCACAGCAACAAAGGCAAAGCAGTCTCAATGCCACACAAGAATGCTGAGCCAAGTTTAATCTTTGGTCTGAGAATCTGGCCCATTTTCAAACATGAAAAAATCTTTCACTCCGACGGGGCAGGAGTGAGGAAATGAAGACAGGATAGCTCCTATCACCCAGCTAACATGTCTGGGCTGAAACGCAGGCTTCTGGGAGTGCTGCCATTGCCTGTAATGGGGCCAGTATTTCACCCCAAGTCTTAAGGAGCTCACAATGTCAGATTTGACAGAGGAATAATGTAGCTTTGCAGCTGCCTCATCATCCCCACAAGACAATTAGTTGTTGTTTGGCAAGGATCTTTTAAGAACGTCATTGAGACAGAAAGGGAACAGCCTGGATAGCCACGGACTTTTAAAAGCATGGGACGGAAAATACACAACGCCATTAAAACTTGAGAAAATCTGGAATGATCATTAAAAGGAATTAAGTTGGGAAGTAATTTATGACAAGAACACTCAAATCCTTTTGTTATCTTCTCTTAACTATCGTACGCTTCCTGCACACTGGGTATATGAGGGCTGTGTGTTAACAGAAAGAAAGAAAAATTAAGCACAGTAAAATTAACTCGTTTTATCAATTTGTGCTTTCTGCAACACTTTCCTGACAGCAGCTACAAGAGGCTGTAAAACTGATGAATTTGCATGGAAAAAGAAACCAGTGTAAGTAATTTGTGTAAAAGGTAACACGGACATGGACTGCTATAATTCAGACACCCTGCAGATAGCAGACTGCTGCAGTGTGAGCAGTTATGGGTTAGAAAAATGACCACACTGCAGTCAGTCTGACTTGAATGGAAATCAATCATAAAGGTACTCTCTGCAGCCTCTACTCCACAGTTTTCAGCAACTTCCTTGCCAAACAGATTTGTGCTCTGTAAACCCTTTGCTGATCAATTCCTCTGCACCCTCTACCTACCAAAGCCTAACTTACAGGTTAAGCATACTATTTTCCAAACAGGAACATAAAAAGGCAAGCACTAAATTAAAGCACCGTTTCTTTCTGAGGCACGATGAATCTCCTAGCCATTGCAAGATTTATGAAACAGTTTTATTTCAAACAGATATGGAAGAAAAACTGGTATCTGGATAATGCTTCTCTTCTTTCTCTCACTTCCCTCTGTTTATCGCTCTCACCACAAATCCTGGATGTTCCAACCTTTGAATTGGCCCTATAGGAAAATGAAATGTATCTCCAGACCAGGGGTGGAGTAGGAACAACGTATTGCTAACGCTGTGTAAACTCAGCACGAAGTAGAAAGGGCTAATCACACAGTAATTTCCGCCTGGGTAGCAAACATGAAGGATGCTTTGTTTGTCATAGGCCAAACCACCTTGCCACACTCAAGAGCCTGTTTGCAACCCGAGGGTTAAAGAACAAAACCCACCTCTAATGTACACCAACAGATGTAAGCAGCAGAGGATAAACTGCCTGGCTGGCGTATGGCAGCGAGTACCTGAAACGCCGTGGCAGTCCTTACACAGGAGCCATGATCATGCCACCAGCAGCTCAAAGTCTCTGGCCCTAGAAGTGCTGTGGCAAATGTTGCACAGGGCTAAGCTGTTCTGAAATCCCTTCTCCTGCCTGCCTGACAGGCACCTATTCGGTATTTGTACCTTTGCTCACAGTTACCCCATTTACTATCATAAAACACAGCAACATGCCGATGTGTAGAGCCCACCCTGAGACTGTCAGGAAGAGGTTAATGTTTTTCATCCGCATGGCGGAAGGTTGCTCCCTCTTCCCGGCTGGAATTTGGTTGAAGCTGTGTGTGCTTTCTGTTTCTGCTTCAGCCTCGGTGGAGCTGAGCCACACCTCGCGCCTCCCGCGCTGGGCTTCGGCTGCGGGGAGCTGGCTGCCTGGCACCTGCCTCCTCTAGTCATCCTTGTGTTTTGCAGTGCAACCCACCACGAGAGTGGGCACGGTGCAGCTAGCCCAGCCAGGAGGCATCCCAGCCTGCTCCAAATGGCTTTTCACACTGCCTTTGTGGACTGTCCACCTCGCACGGGCCCAGAAAGCTGATGGGAAGGGACCACTTGCGTTTATTTGCAGGATTCCCGCAGAGGCTGCAGCTCTGGAGAGTAAGCAAAGGGATCAAAGTGGTGCAAACTGTGGCAAAACTCTGTCTAAATTAAACCTCTTTGTTGTAGCATCTGACAATCCACCATGCAACCTCCCTACACCCCTGTTCCTATGCCCCGGGAACACGCTCTAGCCCCACACGAAGTGGCAGTGCGCTTGGGAAGCTCCACTCCAGCACAGCCGGCTGTTACACGCTGCAGCCTGCAGAAACTCCAGGCAACAACATTAAGAACACGCCATTTCCCTCCCCTAAGAAATGCTCTGCAGCAAAGTGACCTTCTGATAGCTCAGGAACATCTCCCAAACAGGAAAGGATGTCAGAAATTGCAGTTGCGAGTCAAAACAATAGTCTCCACCTACGTGCCAGCATCAAGATGTCATCTGACCCAGGGCTCTGACCTGGCGGGGGGCGAGGAGGAAGGACCCCTCTTCCCCTAACACCCAGCCCGCTGACGTGCGCAGGCTTTCTAAGCACACAAACCGATGCTGGCCTCAGCTCTCATTTCAGCTGCTGGCATCACAAAAAAATCCCTGTGCAGATGGGACAGGTTTTGCTCGCTCTGAGGGACAGGAGGAGCTAGTTTGCCCAAAAGGAGGAGGAGGAAGGTGGGCAACTCTGCCTGAGCACCAGCACTGTGCTACTCCCGGGGACACTGGGCAGCGTCGCCCTGCTGCCAGCCTGCTCCCTCCGCTGCCAGCTTGTTAGCTCACATCTTCACCCGAAATGTCAAGAAAAATAACACAGAAATTAACAAAAAGCCCTCTGACTTAACCCAATTGGAATATTTATTTTGAAGAATTTATTGAATTACAGAACAGGAAACCCACTAAATAAAACCAGCCAGGCTGGCATTTGTCTTCCTTGGAATACGGCACTCTCTTTCAGTCATGTTGATATTTAGTTTCTCTTTTTTCCATTTTTATGTATTTATTTTTACAAAGGGGCTGGGATGTGACTAAGATCATTACATGTGTAACACTGCAGCAAAGTGATAATGTGTTTAAGGTTAAATGGGAGAAACATGACATTTGACTAATAAACTTTTTCCTGTGTTGTGACTCCATAAACAAAGGGAAACACACTGCGCTGCTGCTGTCAAGAGGAAAGGGGAGCTGGTTTTTTTTTTTTTGCAAGGCCTTTGTTTCCTACACACTGTATCGTTAGATTCCAAGAGTTTTTGCCGAATACAACAGATATGAAATGTGTGATGTTCATTTTAAAATTACAAGTACAGCCTGCTATTGACCATCTAATTATGCTGAGTTCCATTTATAAACATAGCTAACCACTAAGTTTATAGAGACTTTTTGTGCTGCTTTAATAGGATATTGATCGAGAGCAAGGTTTGAGTGGACTGCCATTGAATTGTGTAATGGCATACAAAAGGCAAGGTCACAGCAACTGTTCACTCTATGCCTGCAGTCTATTTTTTATTATAATCTTTTTTCTTCTTCTCATACCTAAGCCCAAACAGTATTTTGGATAGCAGTGCTTTGCTAAGGAATACAGAGTATCTTTTTAAATGTTAATTTTCATGCTGCTGACTTAAACTACCTTCACTACTGTAATGCTTAGTATAGCAGAAAACATACAGGCTGCTGTTTAGAGAGAGCTGTTTTATTATACCCCGGCTTTCACACATATGCTCTGCGTGGAGGAGAGCCTCTTCTCCTCTCCTGGGCTACAAAAGGCAGCAGCATCCTCCCTGCCCTTTGCAGCCACCTGCCTGGCCCAGACCCACGACAGGAGCCGGAGCACCCCACACCTTGTCACTGGTATCCAGTACGTGCCGGGGCTGGCAGGACTTTCCCTGCAGTTTGTTTCGGCTGTACCTGGCCACTGGATGGAAGGCGTGAGGAAGCTGTGTTTCCTCCGTCGCACCCACGCTCCACGCCTGGAGCGGCGGCAATTACTTTCATTTCCAGCACTTGTCCGCCTGCCTCACAGCAAGGACAGCTTCAGGCCCTGCCTCCATTGCTAAAGCAGCCGCTAACCAAGTCTGGCACCCACCCCATCCAGCAGCCTCGGTGTTGCAGGATCCCAAGCTTTTCAAAATGCCTCGGCCACAAGAGCACCTCTTACCTGTGGAATTAGTGTAACTGTCTCAGGGATAACTAGCTGGACCATTTCTGTGTTTACACAGGAGCGGTAAGCAACTGCATGTACGCTTGTGTGCTTGTGGTTTCACTGGCTCATTAGAAGGATTAAAAGTCACCCCACTTGCTCTGTACAGCTCCTTACTGCACACAGCTAACATCTTAAAACTCAAAGCGTGGCATTTTCAGTCCAGGGCGCAGTCAGAATTCCCTTGTTTATCAGCATGAAGAATGATGTCATTTTGACAAATAACACAGCACAAAACAAATGTGTTTGATTTGGCTCTAGCGAATGTTCATAAATCCTAAATCTTTCTTCACATCCTGGGCAGTGCAGTTTATCTGGCTGCTTGAAGGACCTCCAAGGGAGGAGATCTTCCTAGCAGCTCTTTGCACAAGAGCACACGGTGCAGTGTCAAAGCCAAGAGGGGAACAGTGTTCCCCGTGTCTCTCTCTCTGCTCCAGCCTGCCGTGGCCTCCCAACCTCTGCCAAGCGAACGGGACTGTACACTTGGCAGTGGCTTGGCACCACAGCCACCCCTCTGCCGGCACCTTTTGCAGAGGGTATTCTCCAGCGCCCTGCAGATAGCTGCATACAGCAAGTGCAATATTTTCCTAACAAGGGTAGAGAGGGAGAAGGTTTTGCTTCACCAGCAGCTGGATGTCAGTTCACAAAACTTGTATATCTCCAACGCTTCTGCTTCTGAGCCTTTTGTTGTCAGCCCAAATCTCTCTAGAGATGGAAGTATAAAGTCTCTGTCATCTGGAGGGGTCTCCCCAGTATCTGGGGTGACAGACAACACTTAGAAAGGAGCTCACACCCTTTGCCTGCTAATAATGTAGGAGAACTGACAGCATGGTCTGCAACATTCACATCAGATGGTGTGGAGAGGGGTCTACCTGTTTTTCAGATGAACATTTATGATCTACTTTCTCTATTTTACTAGGCTCTGCAAGATTCAGTAGCTGCGTAGCATTTTGAAAGAAAATCTGCATCTATGGGACTGAAGAAAGCAAGTTTCTGTTACCAAAACAGTCTGGACTTGTTTAATAGCTCACAGAAACTGTGATGATCAGCACTCATAGGTAAGATAGATAATGGTAACCGCTGACCTTTTGCTCGATTAATTCATTCCCCAAATTTGCATGATGGAGACAACTGCCTATTATTTGAGACTCCTTGCCGTGTGGACCTCTGGGAACTTTACTAAATAAACCTGACACATAAGTGCTACCAACAATATTTCATAAGATTAATTTTAGATAACAGCAGCAAACCACAGGCCAGTTAAAACTGTGAGAAATCACGTATTTCTATCATCATATTATCAAAAGCAAGCATGGAAAGAAACATGACAATAAGCATACACAAAGATGACCTCTTTCTAAAGCCAACACAGAGCACACTCAGGAAGAGAGCAGAGACTAAACGTGAGGGCCCACTATGGATAGGCAGGCTTGTTCCTTCCCTAGTCATGGTGGCTTCTGAAGGAGCAATGACTTTTTAGAAAGTAAAAACAAGAGAACGGACTGAGGACGTTTTGATTACTCAAGCTACAGACTGTTAATAGCTGCCGGTGAGTCTGGATGATGGCTGTTCATAAGCTGAGCTCCCCAGTGTGAAAGTAACCCATGGACTGGTCTCAAATTAAGACACGGGAACACGTAGCCAACCCAGCAAGGGTTATATTGAAAAGCACACTCTTTAAAAGACCTTGCCTGCCAATTTAGGCAAATATGCAGCGATTTGTTGCTCTGTTATGTTAAATAATTCTTTGAACATTAGCATGCGAATTCACACTGATGTCGCTGGGAATTTGTCGCTACACTCTACACTAAACATATCCTACTGGGTAGTCACGGCATGTCAGGCTGTGGGCTTCTCAGACCTCACAAAGTAAACAAGGTTACGGCTGGTCAGTACATGTCTGGGGCATCTCCAAGGAAAATCCAGGGTGCTATCAAAAGCAGTGTAGCTAAATCAGTTGCTGGCACTCTTCCCTCTGAGTCAGTTCTGAAGTGATATCCCGATATGCTTTGGGGACACTATTTTTGGTAGAGGTGCTGGCTTGTAGACAGGATATAAAACTGAGGTCTTGACCTCCCAGGATTATTAAAGAGCTCATGAAAAAGAGTGCAAACCCGTGCGTCTGGAACAGATAAAAGCTGAATCTTTTTATTTTGCCCACCAACACCTCCTTTCTTATTTCCCATAAAGTTCATGCCTGTCTTGCTCTTCCTGCGTGCAGGTGCCCTACCCTTGGAGGTGGTGCATTTCAACAGCAAGCAGCGGGAACGTCTTGGACACAGTTCATTGTCTCATCATTTGCAAAAAATGCTGAATGCTAGGATCTCTGATACACAACGTTTTAGTTTAGTTACAATAAAATATAACGGAATATTAATAGACATGAAACATGACGCTCATGAGGTCAATGCCAAACTCCCAGGGAGGCTGGGACTGGGGCTGGCTTGAAGGCTAAAGTCCTGAACGGGGCACTTTCTAGCAGCCGTACCCTGTGCACACATGAAGCATGGCTGACAGAGTCCAGAGGCAGTTCTGCTGTGTAGGGCTCCTACAGTGAAGATAAGATTGTGGTGAAGTGGGATGCCTTGCAGAGGGGGAGGGTGAATCCTTTGGGTTTCAAAAGCCTTACACTGTCACACTGAAATAAAGTGACATAACATGGAGACGTTCAAAGACTGGAGATAACTGGGTTTTGTCCATCATGCTGCAGGTACCAGCAAGTTCGTGTACACAGTACAGTGAGTTAGATGTCAAAGTCCCTATTTAAAGGGGGATTTGGAAATGTGCTGAGCGCTCAGCAGCTTCTCGACTTGTAAGTCCTCTTAACTTTGTCCTTCTCACAAAATTCCCACCAGCTGTCAGGGAAGAAAACTCAGGAGAAATGTCTGCCTTAAACTTTTTCTCCCTCTGTCTCTCTCTCCAGCACATATAACTCTGACATTCATGTATCTCCCACTTGCCATGCTTTCCTTGTAGCATCCTATTTTTGAATATAAAGCCAATTTACTAGCTAGTGCGAGTCTTTCCAAAAGAGGAAATAAAACAGGAAAATCCTCACAGAAACTCTGTGTTCTAGAAGACTCAAAACCACAGATTCTCTGCTAGGTTTGTGCCAGTTAGATTCCAGCTCCAGAAGGACTTAAACTACTTGCTCAGAGCCCATGCATAAACAAATATTCCTGAGAACCATTTTTATCACTGGCTGTACTAAAGAGATTGGTTACAAACCCTAAGGTTTTAAAGGGGCACTTAGTTGAATGGTTCTCCTGGAGCAGTGGTAACTGGTGACAAAGTGATGTTACCACATAGCTCTACACTAGGTGCAGAGAAGATCCCCGAAGGACTAGTACCTACGGCTTACCAGTAGTCTCTCTGCAAGAGACTGTCCATACGCTCTCCTTGGACTATCTGGATTATGTCATAGCAAAATACAATCAATGCACCCTTGATCAATGGAACAGGGTGGTGACAGGTACTCTTAATTCACTGTTGTTAGTGAGTATTGACAAGCCTGTAATGATCATGCTGCAGTGTGTCATTCATGCTGGGGGCATTAGCATTCTTTAAAGGTCAAAAAACAAATCCTTCTAGAAGACAGAATTCCATACAGTTAATGGAAAATGCAGGCCTTGCGAAGTCAAGATGTATGCGTCTGCACAACTGACATTATCAGACCTGAAGTTGGTACAGTTGTTGGCATTATTAACGAGTTCATTAATTTGCAGGTGTACAAACACATGTACGCATGGCATGGATGAACACAACATGCAAAAGCGGCATAAGAAAATTTCCAGGCTTATGTGCACAGATCATGTCATTTCTAGAGGTCTGGTTAAAATACAGTCCTTGGATCCTGCAAGGGATCCACTGGGTAAGCTGATCTTTGTAGGCATTTACCTGCACTCTGATACAGGGTCTGCCCATTTTCAGCTGGGTACTGGACGAGCTCATCAACTTGCACATGCAAGTTTGCAGTATTAAATTTTTTTGATTTACTTTTTAAAATTATGCTATTTTACTTTCCCACATTAAAAGATGTGGCACACAAACACTGTCCACTGGCGAGAAGCGGGGAGAAGAGACTCAATTTTCAAGACGCTGTTTCTGAATTGAGGAAAGGGCACGATAAGAATCAAAGAAAAAAACTGGGATTCCAGAAACCACATAGACCGGCCACAAAATGATACTTACTTTGTGAGACTCTTACTAGCTCAGTCACACTGAAAACACCTGATGTGACAAAACTGTCCTGGAAGCCCAAATGTCCTACAAAACAAACAGAGTGAGAGAACTGCGATTAACTTTAAGCATTTAATGACAGTATTCTCAAATACTTTACTTTCATTTAGACTTAAAATGTGACATCTAATTTCCCACTTAGCAGTAATTATTGTTTATGTAGGTGGGTAACTAGTCACACAGCTATGTAGGCTGCTTTGTGGTTTCTATCTAGAGGTTAGGAAAGCTAACATGACACATCAGCAGGGAGATTTTTACATGTTAAAGCATCTCAACAGGAAATCTGAAACAAAAGAGGACTATTTTAATAAACAGTTACCTTGGATGACCCCTAATGACTTCACAATTGAAATGAAAATACTGTACCTAGGAAACAGACAGGACAGCTAAGTTCCATAATCGTTTTAAACATTATTCTCTGAAGAAACATCTGATCAGGATTATCTACCCATTCATTCAAACAAAACAAGATTTAAAGATGTACTCTTCATTTTCTAAGGTTACACTAGGGAAATCTTAAAATAGCAGCCGGTTAAAAAAAATCAAATTAATGCCTTTCCCACAAAAAAAATTTTCCTAACATTTAAAACTAGCTTTTGAAAAGAAAAATAAATCTCTGCATAAGAAAAATATTAACTTTGAGCTTTGGACTGTCTTTAGGAACCAGGGCATACACTTCCACACTCGCCTCCCTTGTGCAAAGAATGCCTCTACACTTGGTATCAAAATGTTATTACACTTTACATAACAGTATTTTCCTTCTTCTCTGAAAACATGCCTACCACCAAATGTTCATTTAATTTTCACGGGTATGATCAATTACAAAAGGAGCAGCTTTCGGGCTGCAACCCAGTGTAAGTGTGCGGAGTGGGGTACAGCAGTTCACGTGGGACATATCTGGACTTCAATTAGAGGTCTGCAGTTAGTCGGCCAGACTGACCTCCTGCTTTTGAAATCAGGGTCAAAGGAGAAATCTCAGGATAAAGAGATTATTAAAAGAACTGTAAAGTCCTACTTGTCCACAGGATAAGTGGCATACCTTTTTAGGTTGTCCTACTTAGAGTCACCGATTCCAGTGCATGCACACATATATTATTGAATGTTTTGCAGGGGCACCATCTGCCCCGTTGTTAATTGTTTGTCAGATTCAGTACAATTTCCCTATGTTCAGTATATTCTACCGTACCCCGCGCTCATCACAGCAATACCCACACACCTTCCTATAGTGACCAGAGCAGTAGGACTAATGCAAGCTGCATATTTGTTCTCCTGTCTTTCTTTTGAGGTTGTTTAAAAAAAGAAAAAACATATCCCATTGCCATTTCTACCTGCAGAATGGGAAGTAAGAGAAATACATCTTGTGTGCAGGACTACAGAGGGTGACATGTCAAGGAAAGGTTTGGGAGAGATCTGGAGGGAGGTCAGCCATTCACCTCCAGCCAAGTCCTCAGCGAATTCTGCTCCTGCACGGAAGAACTTCCCCGTTTCTGTGAGGATCCTACGGTGCCAGATGAACGCAGTCGCTAAGCTAACAGACTTGAGACAAGTTTCTACATCAGGCATGTTTTTATACTTCAGCAATAATGATGAGTTTTCAAACTGTGTATATGTATATCTTTGGGCATCCTTGTGTATGTGTGTATACATATGTATTATGCACACAAACATATAAATATACACAAATCTGTCATGCTCCAGCTGTAGATAAATGTACTATAAAATATTGAAATTGATGCTGAAATTCAACACAAACAAATTCCTCAATCTGCAAACAAGGTTTTTATTTACATCAAGAGAATAAATTTTTCTCTACTTTAAATGAAGAAATGTTCTTACAAGCTTTTATTTTTCCTTATTTTCAACCTAGAAATAGCTCTCAGATAATTGTAAATGCTTTTGCCTGATCTGCTTTATACTTTACCATAATAAAGGTGATGACTACATCATTCTGCTTTTTAGAAATGGTTGCTGGCCATACACAACGTTTGTTCATTTACAATTTCCCAAGTATTTTTAATATGAAGATCTACTTTTCATATGCTGCAGCAGACCTGCCTATTGAATTAAATGATCTGTGAATTAAAAATAATTCTCCTAGGTCTTCACTGAAACCACTCATGTGCCTAAAATTAAGCATATGCTTAAGTGCCTTGCTGGATCCGGGCCAGGATGCTTACTACTCCGCAGAGCCCTTCTTAGGGAAGCCAATCTATGCTATATAACTTCTCACACTGTGCTCATCATGGCAGTATCTGACCAACTTCCAGAAGTGCATTCAGCAATGCTACGAACATCTGTCACGTGTTGTTTTTTCACAGTGCACCACACTGGGTCTGCTCTGGTGTCCACTTCCACCTGCATTTCTCAGGCATGTTCCTATCGCACTAAGAGCGAAGGTGAAATTTAAATATGGAAATAAAAAACAAATCACAGCTACGGTAGGACATTTGGCTGATGTTTTAAGGGAAAGTCTAGGGCCCTTTGTAATCATCCAATAAAACCATGATTGTCACATGGCTAACCGCGTTACTTGAACCTAGCAAACACAGGTAAAACCAGAAATGAAAATGCTGTAGAATGGCTTTAAATACATTCTAGCTCTCAGGGTCCCGCAGGGCATGAGAAAAGTTGAGTAAGTTAGCTTGGGCCTGCTATCTTCATTATTCTTATTTTGCTGGGTATACTTGAAATGTCCACTTACTTCTGTAGGAACATTTCTTACGCGTGTACATGTAAGAGTAATCATTAAACAACGCACGCAACAAAAGTGATTAGATTTTCATCCTTCAATACCAAAAATAAACATTTCACAAATGAAAGGTGAATTTCACAATTCTCCAATTTGTTATTTACTTATAAACATTAGGAAATCAGAGACTCATCTCACCAATCATTAATAATATCTTGATGCCCATAAAAGCAATGCCCTTGGCTTAGAGTTGTATCTTGAACTCAATTCGATGCACGGTTGGTCTGTGAATTCACAGTTCAGTAGAACTCCATGAAAGTTTAAAGGTTTGCCTGGATGGCTCAGATTGCAAAATCCAGGCCTAAGACTGTAGCTTTTGCTGAGCTGTGATAACAGTGCAACAAGAAAATGAGAGAAACAGGACAAAGAAGACGACTAAGTAAAAGAAGAATGACTGGGAAATAGCAGGATTGACAAAATATGTGAAGTAAACATTTTGTGCCTATTAACAAGGGTCAAAATGCAAAAATATATCAATTTGGCTGTTCCACTTAATTCTGAATGAGAAAAAAATAGGTAAAGTCAAGCAATTACATATGCAGATGTTAGCATTAACGAGCTCCTTTACTGAAAAGATGATTAAACATCTTGAAAGCCTGCAAGATTTACTTTTCATACGGCACTTCACTGAAATACGTGCACTGTGATACTTTTGCTAAATATCCCAAAGATAGGACATTGAAATTGCTGTATATGATCCGGTTATCTCCACAGCTTTGTGCGACAGTCACATTTTGGTAGTAAAGCAGGTGTTCAAAATGAGGATGAGAGAATTTTTACTCACTTTATAAAAAACTAAGAGAGCTCATTCACTGAAATTCTGGGTATAAATTAAGACACCTGGCTAGCCAAGGCAGGCCCTGACTCAGCAAAGCAGTTAGAGCACGTGCTTAATTTTAATCACATGTTTGACTAAAGCACATACTTATTTGCCCTGCCAAATAAAGATGGGCTGACAAAGTTAAGCAGGTATTTAAATATATTGTTGAATCATTGCCTTCAACCCCAGTCTAGGTCCAGCTAGGAGTTAGCTCATTACACAAGACCTCACTTCAGCTCATGAGGATGATTGTTTTTCCCCCAGGGGGGAAAAAAACCCAGGCTAAGAAGACCAAATTGAATAAAGCAGATCAGGATACTAACTAATAAATAATATGCTATTACCCAGTCGCATGTTTGGTATAGCGTACAAACGCGATGCAGCACTACCATAACAAGTACCACATGAAAATGTTTTTCCATAACTTGATGACTGCTTTAATTGGGGAGAAAATTCATAATACGATTTACATATTCTTCTTTTCGATCCCAGTAAAGAAGCCAGAAAAAAAAGCTTGAATTGCTGGAGCCTAATTCTGATCTCAAAGAAGTTTTAAACAAGTCTTTCTACACTGATCAAATAGAGTTTCACCTAATTTTCTCCTAATTTACACTGGCAGAGGAGAAATCAGGATTAGGACTTGTTGTCTAATGCTATTTGTTTTGAATTATTAAGCAAACATTCCTATTTCAATGAGTAAACGTGTACAAAGGCAACTAACCTTCGTCCTAAAATCTAGTTTACAGGGAGAGTATTGTCTGCTTTCCCAATTAATGCTGTAAAAAGGAGTCTCAGACGTTGAGCTACCAATCAAGAGCTTGTGTTGTAGCTTGAGAAAATCATGACTGATGCAATTACTTTTATGTAGAAAGTCTGAATATGGTCTATAGGTTAAAGTTCATCGGGTTATTGTTCCTTAATTGAATATCAGAAGATGTTTTCAAGGTGCTCAACGTATTATTGTTATTTAATTAGCAAGCTTCCTTGTGTAATCCAACAGTATTATTTTTATTATAAAATAGTTAGATTGCACCATAAATATACAAGGTATTTTCTAAACAGAGATACAGCTGGTTTCCTGACATCCAAGCTTAAATAAAACTGGGAAATTACTCCTTTGAAGATGAAAAAGTCCAAATCCAGTTATTTCTCTTCCACTACAGTCCGAGTGACAATGTAGTAAGCTTTGGAGAACAGCTTTTTGGGAGACTTTGATTCCTCTTCAGTGTTTTGAAATTAATCAAGTCCCCCAAACTAGCACTGAAACCATTTCTAAAGCCTTTTTCATGTTCAGCATCTCACTATACATAGCCATCTTAAAACCTTAAAATAGTAACAATCAATTAGGGTCTCAAGCCTATTATCTTAACCAAATGCCTGATTAAAAGAAAAGCCCTCTCTGCTCAAAGTGGAACTTGATTCCTTTTGGTTTTATCCTCTATCTAGATAATCCCGTGT